TAAGTGTCAAATTTAAAAAAAAAAAAAAATGTATTGTTCAACCAAGCACATTTCAAAGGATTCCAATTTGCTCTACGTGAATTTCTTCAAGAATGAACAAGAAGGGAAAACAGTTGATGCATTGATGTAGGTACTGGAAGAGCACTGGAATGCATATTTAAATATGAATGCAACTATTGATTGTTTAAAAATAAATTGAATAGTTACATTTTGAGCACGGAGGACATTGACGGAGGGCCATTTTTTCTAAAGAAGACATTTATTACATATAAGCACCCTAAATTATCGGTGTTAAAATTACATCATCATAGTTAATGATGGGCTATTTTCTTACAACATCCTAAAAACTCCTTGTGGATCACCTGAAAGTTGCAAATTACTTAACAGCATTATGAAACCAAGATCTCTTCTGTATAATTTACATGCTTTTTAAGGGCATTTTGTGTGTATTTGCTTCCCAACTCTCACTTAATTCTTATTATTAAAAGAGACAGTTTAGGATTATACAGAAGTGTTTTTCTCAAATGCTGCATTTCTTAATTTAACAAATTCATTGAGACAAATAAGATGGGAAAAACTAACAACATATGGCATTTGTGCTGGGAATATTTATTAAGACTGAAATTCACTCCTGTGCAGAAGACAAACACAGTCTACATGTTCTTATGTTCTACATACACACTAGTTTGAGGGAATAAGTGGAACATAAATGATATAAAGGTTTTGCAGAGCCTGAGTAGGGAGTGAATTCCACCCCAAAAAGAATATGGGACAATTTTTTAACTGTGATGTAATGTTAGGTACATTGTCTTGGAAGCCCATCTTTATGAAGAAATCTCAGCATTTTTAAACCACCTGTCATCACAGTTTCTAGGTAATCTGTATGAAATAAAAAAGAAAGAAAGAAAAAACAGAACCATGCAGAAAGGCAGTCAGTTCTTTCCTACTGATCATTTCTTCTGAGTGATTTGCGTGCACTTGCTGTTTCAGGTTTTTGAAGACATTTATGGATTTTCTGCTAGCCCCTTCATAGTCTCTCTTTTTTATGTCTTTTTCTGTGTCTTGGAAACTTGTGGGAAAACAATTCTAACAGCTTTATTTTCTTAAACTTCAATTTGAAAGTTTCACTTGCGGTTTTTTGTTTTTTTTTTTAAATAAAACTATCTGAACGGCAAGATCTACTTCTCTGAATAGGGATTCTGGACTCTCTTGTGACCTACAAGGTTATCAGGAGTTAGTGCCCTGCATAAATATGCTGATTGAATTTTGCTGACTCTGTGTAGCAGGAAACTTGTTAACATTGCCAAGTTATGAGAGATGGATGCGATCTTCTGATTCGAGGGTAATCGGGGATAGAGACTGGAAAGCTTAGGAATAGTCAGGCTAGAAGGATGAAATTTGTTCTAAGTTACCAGTGTAGCAAGACCTCAGGAAAGGGGTAAGTTTAACTTTGAACACCATGTGTAGACTTCAATTGGAGTAGAATGATAATGACCACCAGTTTACTATTTATGTAACTAGTATTAGTTAGCTGAGTAGCAAACAAAGGCTTCTCACTTAAACTCTCATTTTGTTACTTTTTCATCTGTCACACTCTTCTCGTGCTTTACTGATTTGTGCACCTATCTGTCTGACTCCTAGACTGTAAATTCTGTCTTTATTTATTCTGTCTTTACTCTATGCAGAATCTAACATGTGGCCCTGATCCTGGATGGCAGTTCTATGTGCTATCCAGTGATCTATTTTTGCCCTCCTGTTCATATGTACCTCCAATGAGAATTAGCTGTCAAAGCTGTAACTCATTGTACATTTTCCTTGACACTATTAATATTTCTAAGCACTATATTTTAGAGACAATTTTGTTTGAGAGTTCCTTCAGTGCACTACTCACACACAGAATGAATTGTTCATACAAATAACTGATGACAATGAGAGGTTAATTTTTAAGTTCAGATTTTTGAGTAATAGATGAAAGTTGCATGGTGCTGTGTCTCTAGTACAACAATGAGAATCAAAATGCTAAATTAGTTCTCTGCCAACTATTTTTAAAAAGCTAATTCCACATAATTTTTCAGCAAAATTATTTTGTTCCTATCTTTGAAGTTTTTACTTAGCTGATAATACAATGGTGTTTATATGGGCATGCTGTTTGATTTTTTTAAAGTTATAGGCAAACTTTCAAACAGATTGTGGGAGATACATTTACAATAACATACCTAACATTTTTTATTTATAGTATGAAAGACAGTGCTGTGCATAAGTAGGGAAGCTACACTTTTGTTGAGTGTGGACGTAAAACTTATTTACCTGTGTTAATTTATAATGGGAAAATAGCTGTGATTAAGGCTATGATTTAGTTATTTAGGTCACGACTTCTAGTGACTTCTAGTGACTTCAGCCTGGGGCGCTTGGGGGAGAGAGGGTATTCCTGCCACCCATGGGTGCAGAGAATGCTGCAGAGTATCCATCCCACCTCTACGCTACTACAGGCACTGGGGATGCCCCTGCAGCTCACAGGTGGATGGAGGTACCCTCCCCATCTCCAGCTCACAGCTTTGACAGCTGCAGAGGACCCAGAAACTCCCAACACCCAATCCATGGTGAGGCCAGAGTTCCTATCCACTGCATAGCTGCCCCACTGCAAGCTGTATGGGAACTCTCAGATCCCCATTTTGTCATGGATATTTTTAGTAAGTGTCAGATGGGTCATGGCTCCCATGAATTTTTCTTTATTGCCCATGACCTGTCTGTGACTTTTACTAAAAATATCTGTGACTAAATCTTAGCCTTAGTTAAGATTGCTGAAAGGATAAAGTAATTTGAGAAGAAATGTTGGTATAAATAGTCATATAGGCGTATAGCTATCATTTCTCTGTTTGTTGTTAATGTTTTTGACATGGTTGCAATCTGGAATGCTTTGTCTCCTTAAGAGACCAGCATTTAAACATTAAATGATGTAAGATATGTTGTGCTCATAACCAAAAGAGAACTCTCCACTTACATGCTGTTCGTAAGTACGTGCTGTTGTCTTTCAGTGCCACCTTTGTCAGAACAGAAAAGTTCCCATTCTGCATACCTGCTCTGTGATGAAGGGGCCTTATAAATACCTAGATATTTAAATAAGTTCTCTTCTAACTACAATGACCATAAAAAGACTTAATGGTAAAGCTTACTTTTTCAGCTAGACGGTACATTTTTAATAGAATCATTATGAAAAGAGGCTTACAAAACATTTTAAGTGTAACTATCTAATGTAATGATCAGTTTTAGTGAACTCTCTAGTCAGTGTTTAACAAGAATCTATGGTTTAAAAAAATAAAAGCTGTCACACTTTGGCTATGTCTACACTGCAAGGTTTTTGTGCAAAAATGGTCATTTTTGCACAAAACCTATGGAGCGTCCACACCTCAAATGCACTTTTGCACAAGTAAAACAGCAGTAAAATGTAGAAGAGAGGGCTTTTGCCAGTGTAGGTAAATGTACTTCTACATTGCTACAGCTATTGTGCAAAAAGGCAAGTGTGGATGCTCCAGAGGGGTTTCTTGCACAAGAAACCCCTACGGGTAAAAGTACAGGTGCTCTGATGGCCATTCTGTGAGCTTTCTTGCGCAAGAGCGTCCATGCAATGTGGACGCTCTCTTGCACAAAAGCACGTGGCTTTTGCAATGCGCTTTGAGGTGTGGACGTGCTCTTGTGCAAGACGTTTTTGTGCAAAAACTCTAGATCAAAAGGCTTCTTGCGCAAGAAGCATGTAGTGTAGACATAGCCTTTGAGTGTACCCATTTTTGTTGTGTTTGAAGTCTCTTGGCTTTGTGCTTCACTCCGTGTGATATAGTTGTCTAGTGTACCTAACAGCATACTTATACTAATGAAGTGAAGAAACAAATATTTTTATGCTAAGTTTATTTCTGATTCCCTTGAAGCTGTTGGCCTATACATGTATAAGTAATAAAAAGGACTTCAGAAATTTGCTGGGTGTCTGCCAGCCAAAGGACTAAACCCCAAACTGTATATCATTAAGAAGTATGAGCTCAAGGCTAATGGCCTTGTGAGAAACCTAACATCTCACCTTCAACTTCTGAGAAAGATGGAACTGGGACGCTTACCGAGGTTTTGACCCTTGTATGGGCTCAAGGTAGAAGGTCACTAATAACTGAATTCTTTTGTTTCTCTCTTCTGAAAGGGAGGAACATCTGTCTCTTCCCCTTCCTTCAGAGCATCTGAACTGCTTCAGTGGAATGGAACTTCACTAATCTACTGCTCCCCACAAGGCTTTTGTAGGGATGAAGAGGGATCCCTCCCCTCTATGTATAATCCAGTATTCCCCTGCTAAGTGCTTTCTCCATCAGCAGTAATGTAAAAATGACATGAGGTTTCCCAGTTTCGTTTCATCCACAGTGTTCAGTATAGCAGTGGTAAAACAGCCGAGAGTCTTGTTAATTGCACTCCGGTGGTTGGGAAAACTCTGAGCAACGCATTAGTTGTTGCAGACTCAGGAAGAAAACCAGTGCAGTACTGAGTGCATATTTAGGTCTATTAGTATCTTCACAACTTCCAAAGATAAACATTTACACCAAAAATTCAAATGCGTATGTCTAAAATCATATTTAGGCACTTAGATAAACTGCATATGAACTCTTACCCTACTAATCGCCCAAATCCTTTTTCTTCACCCTCTAGTCGAATAGAAGTTTTACCTGCTGATGCCTACCCTGGCAATAGATAAGTGACCTGATTTTTTTCACAGCTGATAAACTCCTATTGAACATGTGTATATGTCCATATATATTGTGTTATATATGAACCAGAGCAAAAAACTAGATCCAGCTATAACTGAATTGGAGGTCTTAATCCAGAATTGAATTTGGTTGTCTGGACCTTTGTCTTTCATGTATTTTATTGGGGGGAGGAGGGGTGTGAGTGTGTGGATGTTTGTTAAACTGACCCACATGGAATGTCATATGAAGAAGCTTCAGTTTATTTTATTGTTTATTTTTCAGGTAAAGATGATGAATTTCCAAAGCAGCCATTGGGACAAATTCCATTGGAACCTCAGCCTGCCATGATTAATCTTACTCATATGCTCAATGGACAGAGCAATACTAGCATATCAAGAACACAGACAGCAAGAAGGACAGAAAGGAGACAGCCTCCTGAAAGAATACAAGAAAATTCACCAGATAACCAAACAAGAATTAATTCATTGGAAAAGAAACCTTCTTTGAAACAACAAAAGCCTGGACCAGCCGAGAGGAGTGGGCTATCTAAGAATGACTCAGATATCAGAAAAAAATCTCAGTCAGCAGTGCAAGACTATTCTAGACACTATAACAATGGAGCTGCTAACCAAAATTCTAATGCTTCTTCAAATACAAGAAGGGAATTTGTACCTAAATGGAATAAACCTTCAGATAGCAAAGTTTTTGAAAAGACTACAAAACGTATTGTGGAGGTAAAAGGTGGGCCAGTAAACCATGCTATTTCAGTCACTCCACCAAGTCCTGGTGAATCACAGCCATTGAATGTAAAGCAAAAGATGAGGGTTTTGGAAGTTGATGAAGGTAAGCGAGGCTCTAACGCATCACAGTATGATAATGTTCCAGGTGTTGACCATGAGAATGAGAATCCTATTGATGAAATGCTGGAAAGAGCTCACGCACAAAGTCCCAGGAATGTAACATACTCTAGTAGTCCTAGAAAACAAGTTGCAAAAATTCCTGGCCCACCAAAAATATCCAACAATTATGTGGTCAGTTCCCAGCCAAGAAGCCCAAGGTATTCATCTCAGTCTGATGGGTCAGATCATGGATCAAATGTTAAACAACCACCACCATCTTACAGTAACCCACCTATTTACCATGGAAACACTCCAAAACATGTCTCCAGCTTCATTAGTGCGAATTTTATACCTTCACAGTATAATCATGGGAATCGAACCAACAGTTCTGGCAGACCATATGGTTCTGTTTTTCCAACAGATTTTTCTCCAGATAAACTGCATATGAACTCTTACCCTACTAATCGCCCAAATCCTTTTTCTTCACCCTCTAGTCGAATAGAAGTTTTACCTGCTGATGCCTACCCTGGCAATTCTAGATCACCCACAGGTGTCAAATTTATAATTCCTCCAGTGGATTATTTGCCAGATAACAGAAAGAGGCCGGACGCTGCGTATATGTATAGACATGACATATATGGGCAGCCACGGAATCAAGATACTAACCAAAGCCACTTGGGTAACTTACAGAAGTACCCAGCCTTTCAGCCAACATCTATTCAGGATCATAATCTTCCAACTGTTTCTGTGGATAGTCCAATAAGATACAGGACTTCACCAACCTTGGAAGAACATGGTTTACCACAATATCAATATTCATCACCCCCTACCCAGCTCTACAGAAACCAAAATGATGGGTTGTCTATGCATGAATCAGTGCTTCTGTGAGACTCAATCAATGCTAACTGAAAAGGCAAGAACTTTGAAAACAATAGAATATATATTGTTGTGTTTATAATTGTCCAAGCCAGTATTTTAGACAGAATGTGGGCAGTTCATGCAATTCGCTGATAAAATAATAATATTATTTCAAAACAGTTTTAAAATTTGGCTGAAAGTTGAGCTTTTTAACTTGCATTGGACCTGTTGAAAGGGATCTGATACAGATAAACATAGCAATAGCAATAGACTCATCTGCAAATGTATCTAACACTACCATGTTTCTGAAGTTTAAATGATTTGCACAGAGCTATGAGCTTTCTGCCTAGCAACTATAATACATTTGCAAACTGCATTTTGACTGACATTACAGTGCATTAAGTGTGCTTGTGCAAATACACAAACATGTACATGGAGAATAACTAAAGAGTCTAAAATGTAGATGCATTTACTCTTGGGCTGCATTAATGAAGTACTTTTATTTCTCTTGAATTGTTTTCTTTTTAATTTATTTGATAAATGACCCATTCATTTTGGATGGCCTTTCCTGTCTTTCTATATAAACTGCCTCAGTAACCCAGGATCTGATTGGACTTGGAGAGATGCTCTGGGTTATTAATGTAATCTTATGGTATGCTAATTCCCAATTAATCTTCATTCCTTTGGCTGCTATCTTGCCTATCCCTCAGCTAGGAGGAACAGGCAAGCAAAACCATGGAGCCAAAAGAGAGTCTGGTCTGTCCGACAAATGGTGCTTAAAATCAGGGCAGTCTGAGTATAGCAAGTCTTTAGTGTATGGGTGAACTTTCAGCACAGAATCTGTATCCTTGCACCCAAATCCAGTGTTAACGCAATGCTTTGTGTTCCCATTTAAGTCTTCTGAACCATTTGAGCATAATGTATGCATTGCTAGAAGCAGAAATGGTGCTGCATTCTCACACTAAGCAGCTTTACCATGGGGTCTCACTTAGCAAACCAGTCCTAGTGTGAGCTACGGGATTGCCAAACAGTCTTCTTCCTGATACAAGAGTATTGCCAGTCACTTGAAATTTGGGGAGAGAATATGGGGGTTGTGTAGCTATTTTGACCCAGTGTATCCTAGGGTCAACAACTCTCTAAGATTGTCCTGAAGTCTCCAGGAATGACAGATTAATCTTTAATTAAAGATTGTCATGTGATGAAACCTCCAGGAATAAATCCAACCAAAACTGAGAGCCCTATAATGGGCATGCATTCAGTGCTGCTTCCCATGAGCTCAATAATGTCAGTTCAATTACATGTTTTGCTTTTGCCCTCCTTTTTCCAGAAAGCAATAGGTGCATGGTCAGGGTTGGGCAAATGCTGTTGCACTGTCACGCCATTGTGAGATTGTATGATTTGTTACGCTAAAGCCACCCTGACTGTTAATAAGAAGCTTAATAGGCTCTTTGTAATTAAATATATTTTTCAAAATTTGTGTTGGCAGCCTTTTGTATTCTACATTCTCCTTTGCTTTCATCCACTGTGAAAAGAAAAAAAATTGCAGGTTAAGTGGCGTACTTGGTGTGCAGTCTTGTGAGATGCTGAATGTAGGAATTGCTAAGCACTCTGAACTCTCTTTGAAGTTAATGAGAGCTGAGGGTCAGAGGCCTCTTGCAAGACTGAGTCCTTAGAGTTTTTAACAGAAAAGATTTATAATACTTAAATACCAAAACACTGGTCAGTTCTGAGACACGTAAAAACTTCCTTTGTTTGCGGAGGTTTTTGTCATTTGCATTTTGTTTTGAGAGGTGCTTTAGCAGAATACATTGAACACTAGAAAACATAACTTTATGAGCTGTAGTGCCTATTCTTGCTGCAGGTTAGCTGTCTAGGTTTTAAGGTACAGAAGTAAAATGTTTTTTTTAAAATGGAAGTAATGTTTAGTATATTTCACGTGCTTCTTTTGTGTATATAGTGAGCGTTGTAATTTTTAATGAACTGTGCAGTTTGATATTTTAAAGATTGAAAACTGCGGTGAAGTAACAGTAGCTAAGCACTACACTGAAAAACTTCTAAACTGAAATCGTGATGATGAATGAGGCTTACCTTAGTTCTGATTGCTTGCAGCCGCTTAGCAATGTATGTATATAATAATGTGGTTAAGTGTAATAATCCCAAAGTTTTAACCATGGTTCTGTGATTCATAAAAAATAAAGCTGTATAAATTACTTTGTGCTAGCAGCCTGGGACTGCTCCAAAATATGTATCAACACTAGTAAATACTGTAGATTTTTATATATAAAATATATACACACTATTTTCTTATGCCATCTACAACAGTTTTTTAACTGTGTATTCTATTTTGATGTGATTGCATTTTTAACATGTTAAAAATAATAATAATAATAACAAGGTCTACGTTGTTGTGTCTTTTTTACCATGTGTATGCTTGTAGAGAAAGCCATACTTCTGGTCTTCCCAGGATATTTTTAGAAAACGAATGGTATACTCTTGAATAAAGTATGCCCTATTTGTCTGTATGTGTTTTCTCTTATACTGAGCAATCTCAGTATCGTTCTTAAAGTGTCTTTTCACTGTTTTAGAAGTAACAATGTATCGATGACGTCTTCATTTCTAAACCCAGCCCCATGGCTTTCAAAACAAGCAGTAGGAACGGTCATCAGGCCTGCTGACATGGGGGGGAAAGGAGGCAGTGGGGGCCAGGAGCTGCTGCTGTTGTGGCAGCAGCTGGAGCTCCGGGCCTGGGCTCCATGTGGCTCTTAGGGCTGAGTGCAGTGCAGAGGGCTGGCTGCCCTGGCCTCTTCCAGGGACAAGAAGGCAATACCCACCCCCCTCCCCGCCATCTAGGTCGCGCATGCGCTGTTGGCTCCTCTGTCATTATAATTTTCCTACCCTATCCCAGTGTTCTAACCCTATATCAGTCAACAGCTGTGGACTTATTGACATGTTGGGCCTATAAAATTGTCCTAATCAGACTGCACATATAATTTTACTAAGGATTTGTGTATCAGTGATCTGTACTGTGCAGAGAGGACAGTGCATGTTATAGTTTATAAAATAAAAATCTTATTTTGGGTAAACTTCATCTGCCTATTTAAGGTAAATGCATGGCAAGCATCAAAGGGATTATCCAGGTTAGTTACAAAAAAAGCTCAATATTATAGGAAACAGCAGGAGACAGCTTTATCTATAGCTTACAATACAGACAATTCTGCATTGACTGGTGTACTGGGTTTGGCGTCGGACTGGAGCTTTTCTTTCTCTGCTTTTTATAATTCTAAAACATGGAAAACAGTCATTATAACCATGTAAACACATTTAGGGCCCAGGTTTTCCTTCAGTAATACTGGTGAATTTAGTAGGAGCTGTACCCACATTTAGGGTTGCCAGATGGTTTCAGAAAAAATACTGAACAAACCCCCCCCCCGAGAATTAAGCAAAAAAAAAACCAAACAAACCCCAAAACCAAAAACAAACAGCATGGCCCCTTTAAGAAATGTGTGGTGAGTCTTTTTGGCCCTAACAGGCTGCCAGCGGCCACCCACCCTCTTGCCTTCCTGCACGGGGCCAGACAGCTCCCCTGTGGAACCCAGTAAGCACTAGGGTTGTCAGGCTGCCTCCATATTGAGCTGGATAGCCTGGGATTTTCACCTCCTGGCTGGGAACAAATCAGAAAGTACTGGACATTTAAGGTGTCTGGTATTTTCTGAAGTTTTTTACAGGACAGGAGGTGAAAATACCAAACTGTCTGGTTCAATACTGGACACCTGGTAACCCTACCCACATTCTGGAGATCAGAACTGAGCCTTTATTGGGAAAAGTAGCACACATCTCAGCATTCCCCACAAAAATAAATTTAGAAGTGCCAGCACCAATGCTGTGGAGCTTAGCAACTCCTTGGCCATAGCTTAAGAGAGCTGTCTGAATGTTAGTCAAAATACTCCTTTGAACCACTCAATAATTCCAAAATTAGATTTGAACAGTAAACAACATCAAAATGTCAAAAAGACAGAACAACCTAGTGAAGCAGAGAGGTAAATCCTTTTGATTCCCCGAGGGGGACACACATTTTCCAAGAAGATTTTCTAAAGATTCCTACTCTGAGTTTCACATTATCCTAGATATGACTTTGAAATTGGACCAGCAAATTATAGATTTTTTTTTGTATCTCCCCGTGAGTCCCATTACACTGCCTGCACAATATAGGCCATCAGATGCCCATCGTTACTTTTCCAGCAGTGTGCATTCGGCTCCTAGTACTTCAGTGAAGAAAATACCTTTTTAAGAGTGCTGTAAACATGGCAGCTTATAAAGATCTGAACCTAGCATGCTGAAAGCTGAGCATTTTAATCTGCATAACTTGTTTTAGCATTTTTCCTTTGGGGGAATATGAAGTCAATGGAAGTGCTTTTCAATACATGTTACAATGAGGAGATAGCCAGACTCATAACAAAAATCAGAACCCTGATTGGAATAATCTGGACATGGCCTTTAAAATGGCTGCTCTATCTGTCAGACATGAGAAAAGAAACTGTTTTGGACTTCTTTGTGCCCAAAGGCTTTTGTTTTCCTGGAACAAAGAACCGGAGTTGTTCTGAGTTTCTTGTTCTTCTACTACCTAGCATGGACTAGTTTTGTTTGTACTTCATTTGTAATTAATCAGCAGAAGACCAGTCATACTTCTTACAGATACAAAAACTGGTGAGTATGAATCTTCTGAGAACCAACACTTTTGTCTGGCTTCTGGCACTGCTTTTGAAATTGAGTCGTTCTGCTTCTATTATTTGGGTCACTCAGACAAACCCAAGCTAGGCTGAACTTTATTTTTCTCATTTCCCTTTGTTCCCTTGACTTCCTGTGACCCATTCTCTGGAGTTTCCCAAACAACTGTGTTCCATTCTTGCTCATCTGTTGCTGTTCATTGGTAACACTGTCAAGATGGTTAAGATGACAGAGGTTGTGTCTTTTTTCAGATTTCTCCAAACAGCATCCAAAGCAAAACTCGCCATTGAATGTGTTTATCCACAGCCTTGAATGATAAAAGTTTATTTAGGGACATGGTTACATATTATGCATGTTCTAAGTCTCTCCTGTTCTGGAAACTTTTTTTCAAGGGGTTTTTAAAGACTTTCAGAAGTGTGTTGGTGAGTGATATATTGGTGCTAACCTCTGACAATGTTACACTTCAAGAATTCTTCCTAGGATATGTATGCATGTTTCCCTCCATTCCACTCACCCTCTTTGTCTTATTGTTTTGTCTCCCACTCCACCACTTTACCTTTGACTGGGATGTAGGTCTGCTTGCTTGCTTTGTCCAAGAACTCTTGTAGAACAGTGACTTGAATAATGCTGCAGTGAGACAGTGCATTAGAGGTGAGATTGGAGTTATGGAAACAGCTGTGGATATTATCTGGGTCTCTTCCTCCACATTTAGCAATGCATGTGCAATTCAGAAGGGGAATCTACTAGATAAAAGCTATGTCTGCCTTCTTAATGGATGTTAAGATATTCAGTATAGTCTGAATTTGCAATGCCATTTACAAAGGTATGTGTTCAAGATAATTATGAACTAGTGTCTAACCCACTTTGCTTCATATGCTCTCAACACAAAAAGAACTCCAAGTTCAATGAGAGAAAATCTAGGTCAAGCCTTCTCCCCAAACTTGTCTGTTTCTGGAGGTTCCTCACAAGGGCTGTTCAGCCTGCTATTGTAAAAGCCACATCTACCTTGGCTAGCAGATAATGAGCCACCTGCAATGTCTGCATCAGAAAACCATACTTAAATCTTTTCCGTCATCACCACAAGGAGGGGCTTTTAGACAAAAGCCCTGTTGTACAAATCTTGCACCTATGGGCCCAGCACAAACATCAGGGGAAGTGGGCACAGTTTAGAGTATGCCTGAGTATCTACAATAATTTGAGATTTGATCATAAGTAGTAAAGAAGATGGCCTTAATTTTCAAAAGTGACTTGCAATTCTTGGTTATCTTGTTTGGGAGTCCAACATCAGAGACCTTCCAGGGCACTGTTTTTTCATAACATGCTGAGTTGTACCTACACTTTGAAGTTAGGTACATTGAGGTGCAGCATCATTCACTTAAAAAAAAAAAAACCCCCAAACAAACCCTGTGCAGTTGATCCATTTTGGAACACATGGGAGTGTAAGGGCTTATCTACATTTACAAAACTGCAGTGGTGCTTTTTAGCACTTCAGTAAAGACGCTACCTATGCCACAAGGAGGGGTTTTCTCATTGACATAAGTACTCCACCTCCTCAAGAGTCAGTCGCTAGGATGATAGGAGAATTCTCCCATTGACCTAACACCGCACACGGGAGGTTGGCTGGTTTAAGTGTGTCACTCAGAGGTATGGATTTTTCACATCCCTGAGTTATATAGTTACATTAACCTAATATCCTAGTTTAGATCAGGTCTGTGTCAGCAGTGTTTGGCCTAATGTGTGCATAATAAAGATTTTTTTTACATCCAACTAAGCGGCATGGATTTTTAAAAAACCTAGCATCTTGAAGCTTCTTTGAAAGTCACCAATTAACTCTTTTGTAAAGAAACTAATTGTTACAGAAGATTAAGCTGGCACTAAGTAGGCAAGCAATCTAGCTGCTAAGATTTAGTGCTTTCGTTCAAGTTCAGGCTTCTTGTCCTACCCTTGGATGCCTTTCTCAATTCTGCCCCTTTCTGTCATTGTCTGCCTTTCTTGTTCCATCAGTTCTGCTACCAGACCTGACCTGCCTACCTGTCTGTCATGCCGACAAATGTCTTCTCTTTAGCTCCTGTGTCGTCATCTTTTCCATGATGCCTGCATTGATCCATAGTACTGCCTTCAAGCTCCTCCTCAAGACCCACTGCCACCACTTTGCCTATAAGAAATCAGCTGGGCTGTGGAGTAAAACTCTGTAGGAGATTATATAAAAAAGTGTGGTTGCTTGAAAATACATATAGTTAATAGTCTCCATTTCCCCCACCCCTTCATGTCTCCCCAACTGCTTGTCCATCTGATGCTCTGGACCTTGTGCAGCCGCTTAACTTTGTACACCGAGAGTCCCACTGATTGACCTCCATATGTTTTTGCATAATCAAGGCCTTGGGTCGTAAACTTTTTGGGTCAGGGATCACATCTACCTTTTTGTGTTTATATAGTAGCTGCTACAATGGTGGGGGGCAACTATGACTGAGATAAATCAGGCACATTGCCACTATGGAAATATTTAATAAGTAGCTGCAAGAACAAGCTTTTACTGCTAGAGTAAGTAATTAATTTGCAATTAAGGGAGTTCGTCCACTCTAAACCACTGTTGCTGTAAAGCATGATATTGCTACATAGCACACTATTGCAAAAGGCGTTAATAAGCAACATCATCAGGTGCTCCTTCTCTGCAGCCAGACTACTAAGCTACTAACTCAAGTTTCACTTCCAGCTATTGTTTTATCAGTGTTTTCAACTC